GAGAGAGAGAGAGAGATCCCTTAGGCTCTCACCATTGCATTCAGGAGCACCCCAAGGAGCAACCACCAGAAGTGACTGAGCTCCAGCCCCGCCCAGATCCTGTCCCAGCTCCAGGAGCCGCTACCCTCTCGGAAGGCAGGCGGTGAGCCCTCATCAGTCCTCCTTCCAGACTGCTTTCCTTAAGCTTTGGTTTGACAGGTGAGTGAGAGTCCCAGGCTGGCAATGGCTCTGGGACATGCGTGCGAGGGACATGCACAAATGCACATGCACACACAAATTCATACTCCTCATTCACACACAAACACACACACACACACACACACACACACACACACACAAAGAAAGTGAACTCAGGCTGGCTCTTCTGGCCCTTCCCTGGGTGCCCTCAGACTGGCCAGCCCTGGGGACTTTGCCTATGCTCTCTTGCCATGCTAGTGCCTTGCCAGATGCCTGACTCAGGGACAGAGCTGACAGGGAGGACAGGGCATGGGTTCCTTCCTCTTTTATTCTTAGAGCAAGATGTAGGAAATTAGGCAGCAGGCTCCTGAGGAAAGGGAGCACTTGTGACTTCTTGTCCCCAGCGGGGGTGACCTTGAGTGACTTGGGTGCTATAAGGCTACCTCTGAGTGATGGACACTAGGAGGCCACTTCTAGCTGCTTACTGGCCCCAAAGTGAAAGTTGTCTCTAACCTTGGCCTACCTAGCCAGGATTTCAAAAGCAAAGAGACCTCCTGCTTGGTGGGGAAGCTCTGATCTAATCTCATGACCAATGTGGGGGAGGGAGTCCATTCCTGATTTTTATTCAGTTAACATCATGCTCCCTACTTTTATTCAGCCTGATTCTTGGGACCCTGGACCTTGAACTGGAAGGGCCCCTAAGAAGCCATGTAATGCAACCCCCTCCTTTTACAGAGGAAGAAAGTGAGGCTTGCAGAAAGGGCCAGGGGCTTGGCTAAGGTCACACAAGTAATATGTGGCCGAACGGGTGCTCTAGCACAGGTCCCCTGGCTCTAGGCTCATTGCTAGTTTCCACCATACCAGGCTGTCTCAGAGAAATCCAAGGGTTGAGTTCAATTTCCAGATTTCCCCAAGTGCTTAGCATGAGCCTGTCATGTAGAGGCACTTATTGCACACCTGTTGACTTGGTTTGATGTTAAGTAGTGACCAACTGAGCAGATTTTAACAGGGGAAAGAAACTGCCAGTGAGTGACAGGTATAGAGGGAAGCTCACCTCTTTACAAGTCCCAGAGCCTGGTTCATCCAGTGGCCCATGCATCCCCACCTCTCCACTCCCCTATTTAGATTTAGGCTCTATCAGGTACAGTCACTAAAGTCCCTTTGATACTGCCCACTTCTCTGTTTCTCCCTGTCTTTGTCTCTCTGTCTCTGTCTTTGTCTCTCTGTCTCTCTGTCTCTGTCTCTCTGTCTCTGTCTTTGTCTGTCTCTGTCTCTGTGTCTCTCTGTCTCTGTCTCTCTCTGTCTCTGTCTCTCTGTCTTTGTCTCTCTGTCTCTCTCCCTATCTCTCTGTCTCTGTCTCTGTCTAGGATTGGCAATGGTACATTTGGGGACATCAGAGAAGGTGGCGAGCCTTCTGTTTCTAGAGAATCCCTGTGGATTGGCTTGGGATTGATGGAAGCTAAGTTAAGCAGAGATTGCTCAACTCTGGGAGAACGCGGCTGTCATGCTGACCCGACCATGATCAGAGTGCGCCAGACGGGGGCAGACCTTCGGTCCTCAGCGCTGGTGCCCTCCCGAGGGGCTCTCTGCCTCTTTCTCCTCCTGCTCTGCCTGCCCCCGTGCATCTCCTGCCCCCCAAATTGCCAGTGCTCAGATGGCAGCGGTCTGATGACTGTCCACTGCAGTTCCAAGAACCTCAAGGAAATCCCCAAGGACATTCCCAAGGATGCTGTATTCTTGAAGCTCGAAGCCAACCAGCTCACCCACATCCCAAGCCACGCATTCTCGGGTCTGACCCTCCTGCAGGAACTAGACCTATCCCAGAACACGATCGAGAAGCTGGACGCTGCGGCCTTCCAGGGCCTGTCGAGCAGCCTCAAGCTGCTGGACCTCTCCCACAATCAGCTCCGGAGCCTTCCCAAGGAGGCGCTGGCCAGGTTGAAGGCCAAGATCCGCCTGTCACACAACCCTTGGCATTGCGAATGCACCTTGCAGGAAATCCTTTGGGAGGTGAAGCTGGACCCCATGTCCGTTAATGAGATGGCCTGCCAGACATCTGTGCGGGAAGAGGCCATAGGGAAGCCACTGGTGCAAGTCCTCGACTCGGGAGCCAACTTCTGCAGCTCCCGCCGCAAGACCACAGACATCGCCATGTTCATTACCATGTTTGGCTGGTTTGCCATGGTCATCACCTACATCATACACTATGTGCGGCAGAACCAGGAAGATGCCAGGAAGCACCTGGAGTACCTGAAGAAGATGTCCTCTGGCACCCTGGCCGTTGGCAGTGCCGCCAGTGTGGGCCTGGAGCTGTAGCGACCAGCGTCCCAACCCTGCCGACTGTGCAGAGCTTTCCCATGGACCTGGGCTGAGGGGCCAACGGCCACATCGCCAGCAGGCTGCTCTTGATTTCACTGGGTGCATTTGTCAAAAACACACAAGCCCCTAATCATCCATATCTGAGTAGGATCCCTGAAGAAGAAGAAGGTTGGTGAAGATCTCCCCGAGGCCCCATGCAGGAGCGGGAGCTGGCCAGTGAGCTCGGGGAAGGAGCTGACTTGGAGGGCTCCAGGGGTTGCTTCCAAAGCAGACTGTCTTTACTTGGCCCTGGGCACCAGCTGCCCAAAGCTCAGAGCTCTTACTGAGATTCGTGAGGGGAGGAATCTGAGATGGGCCTCTTGTGGCTGCTCTTCAGAGATCTGGCAGGGGCCGAGGACAGCGTCAAGTCCAACCCACCCATTTTACCGACCAGGAAAATAATCTTTTTGTTCCTTCAGTCATGCTCTTCTGTGCTTCATGGGTCCTGATTCCTGTCTCCAGCAATGAGTGTGCCTTGTTTTTATTCCCCAAAAGCCAAGAAGGCAAAGCTGTCAGGATCCAGACACTGCTGGTCAGTCTGCTCACTTGAGATGGGGCTGTGGCCCAGGGGAGTCTGCTGTACTGCCTGGGAGAGATCACAGAGGCAGGGATTGGTGAGGTGTTGCCGGCCTAGGGGCTGTGTGCCATGTGAAAGCCCATGGCACGGTGTATGATGTCTGGGGCTAGAAGGAGGGAGAAAAGTCCCGAAAGGCCCGCCATTTGCCACATGTGGGCTAGCAAATGGAGAGTGAACCAGAGTGGCTCTGAGAGGATGCCCATGGGCCATATGACAGGCTTTCTAACTTCCCAGTTGGGCAGCTGAAGTGGAAGGAGCCACCTCGCCTGTACAGGAACATCACATGGATGACACCAAGACCAGTGAATGAATCTGGATAAGACCTGCTGACTCAGAGAGTACAAAAAACACAGGATGGATAAGGAAACACAACTGATGTATTATAACAAATCAAACCAATAACCAACCACCTACATCTTTCAAAGTGTGAACCAAAGAATAAAAATCCAAGCCCAGCAGGTGGAAGGGCAGGCAGGTAGGAGGGTGGGCAGGCAGGTAGGAGGATGGGCAGGTAGGAGGGCAGGCAGGTAGGACGGTGTGTATTCTTCACTCACTTCCTTTGAACTTGGGGACCACCACCTCTTTTTAAGATATGTTAGCACCGTTCCTATGACATCGTTTAGCTCTGGAGATACATAGACAGCATAGGGTAGCAGACAATAGACTGGCTTTGGAGTTAGGAAGAGCTGAATTCAAGTCCTGCCTGATGGTGTGACTCTGGACAAGTCATTTACCTCCTCATAGTGAATTGGAGCTGCTTGTACCTGGGAGTGCATTTACATACATGTATGTCCATGTTTGTGGACATACGTGTGTGACAAGCACAGGAACACAGTGGTGCCAGCAGCAGGCTGTTTGAGACAGTGGGGAGGTCTCCATGGCGGGGGGCACTGTGGGAGTCCCCACAGAGCCCTGGGGGGGGCAGGCATAGAAGACATTGGCACTTGCAGTTATCATTCTTTTGTATCTAATCAAGGAAAGAAAATGAAGCTTCACTAAAATTGACCCCAAAGAAGGAGGCATCTCTGTTGTCTGGCCCAGCCTGTACTGTCTCTGTAGGAGCCCTTAGCCTCAGCCCTCCTGGGGGCTGTGAGGTAACTGGTAACTCTTCGGAGGGCTCAGCAGGGTCCAGAGGGAGCTGGCGCAGGCTTGGGCAGTAAGTGGGGAGCCTTTGGGAGCCCTCCCCAACTGGACTCTGCTAGGGCCTTTGAAGGCTTAGATGAATTTCTGTGTGGCCCTGGCTGCTCACTTGGTCATCCTTGTCTGGTAAAGTGCAGAAGGGAGCCTGACTCATGGGGGGGGGGGAGGATCTGGGTGTGAGCTACCCTGGCTTTTAGGTTACCCCTCCCATTCTCCTGTTGGGCACTGGGGGCTCCTTTTCCTCCCACTCCCTGCCTCCCTCCTCTCTCAAACCTTTCTCTGCCTAGAAAGTCAGGCCCATAGTTTTTGTAACTAGGAGGGGATCTTTGGGCAGCACGAGATGCCAGGGGAAACTTGAGTGTGTTGGGGGGCTGGGGAGGAGGGGCAGGAGACACAGCCTCCTGGTTTTCAAAAAACATTTTGTTGGTCATTTTGGTTTTTACAACACTTTCATTCCTCCAATATAGCCTCCCTTTCCCTACCCATCAAGCTGCCCTTTAAAATAAAAAGGAAAAAGGAAAGGAAAAAAGGAACTCAGAAAAATTAACTGACTCACCAAATGAGTCTGGTAGTGTCCGCAGCACTCTGTGCCCAGAGTCCTTCTCCATCTCCCATTATCTTGTCCTTGTAGATTTGCACCATCTTCAGCCACACTCAGAAGAGTCTAGGGGACAAGAAGAATTAAGGTGGGGTCACTGATCCAACAGGTCATCCCCTCCCCCATGTCTCTCTACCCCTGGGGCATGGTCAAAGTGGGCTACATACTCAAACATTAAATTGGTAGGTATTTTATATCTAATTTGCTCTGGACATGCTGTCCCCTCTGATAGACTGGAAGCACTCTGAGGGAAGGAACTATTTCTTTTTTCTCTTTGTAACTAAAGTGTCTCACCCTGAAGAGGAGACATGGGAATGTTCCTCTTCCTCCTGGCAGAAGTGGAAGCCTGTGGGTGTGGAGCACTGACTGGTAACGGATTGTAGTTTCACAGCATTCAGTTTTATTTGATCATTGCTCTGTCCATGTACACAGTTGTAGTTGTGGAGACAGTCTACCTGGGTCTGCTCATTTCACTCACGTCAGTTCATATACGTAGAAGATGTGCCTTGGCAGCTAAGTTAGGCAGGGGAAGAGACTCAGACAGGGTTAAGCACCCCAGTGGGCAAGCCAGCCGAGCCCATTAGCAGCTTAAAAATAATATTTTATTCCCCACCCGGCCAGTTACACATAAAGATAATTTTTAACATTCACTTTTTTTGGGGGTGGGGTGCTAGGCAATGGGGTTAAGGACTTGCCCAGGTTCACACAGCTAGTGAGTGTTATTTGTTTGAGGCCAAATTTGAACTCAGAATTTCCTGAATCCAGGGAGGGTGCTCTATTCACTGCACCACCTAACTACACTTTAACATTCACTTTTTAAAAATTTTGAGTTCCAAATTTTCTATCTCCATCCTACACCTCCCACTTACCTGAGACAGTAAGCAATTTGACATAGGTTATCCATGTTCAATCATATAAAACATACTATCATATTGATCAAGTTGTGAAAGAAGACACAGACCAGAAGGAAAAAACACACACACAAATAAAGGAAGTGAAAAGTGATCTGCTTTGATCTGCATTCAAACTCCATCAGTTCTTTCTCTGGAGGTAGAGAGCATTTTTCATCATGAGTTCTTTGGAATTTTCTTGCATCATTGTATTGTTGAGAATAGTTCAGTCATTCACAGTTGATCATCATACAATGTTGCTATTACCATATACAATGTTCTCCTGGTTCTGCTCATTTCACTTTGTATCGGTTCATATGAGTCTTTCATCATTTCTTATAGCACAGTAATATTCCATTACAATCCCATACCACAACTTGTTCAGCCATTCCCCAGTTGATGGGCATTGCCTCGACTTCTGGTTCTTTGTCACCACAAAAAGAGCTGCTATAAATATTTTTGTACAAATAGGTCCTTTCCCATTTTTTTTTTCAAAATTTCTTTGGGATACAGACATAGTAATGGTATTACTGGGTCAAAGGGTATGCGCAGTTTTATAGCCATTTGGGCATAGTTCCAAATTACTCTCCAGAATGGTTGGATCAATTCACAACTCCACCAACAGTGTATTAGTGTCCCAGTTTTCCCACATTCCCTTCAACATTTATTATTTTCCTTTTTTGTCATATTAGCCAATCTGATAGGTGTGAGATGGTACCTCAGAGTTGTTTTAATTTGCATTTTTCTAATCAATAGTGATTTAAAGCATTTTTTTTCATATGACTATAGATAGCTTTGATTTCTTGATCTGAAAACTGCCTATTCATATCCATTGATCATTTATCAACTGGGGAATGATGTGTATTTTTAAAAATTTGACTCAGTTCTCTATATATTTGAGAAATGAGACCTTTATCAGAGACACTTACTATAAAAATTGTTTCCTAGCTTTCTACTTTCCTTCTAATCTTGGTTGCATTGGGTTTTGTTTGTGCAAAACCTTTTTAATTTAATATAATCAAAATTGTCCATTTTATGACTTGTAATGCTCTCTATCTCTTGCTTGGTCATAAATTCTTCCCTTCTCCATAGACCTGACAGGTAAACTATTCCTTGCTCTCCTATATCACCCTTTATGTTTAAATCTTGTATTCATTTTAATCTTGTCTTGGTATAGAGTGTAAGATGTTAGTCTGTACCTAATTTCTGCCATACTGCTTTGCAGTTTTCCCAGCAATTTTTGTCAAATAGTAAGCTCTTGTCCCAAATTCTGAGGACTTCAGGTTTATCAAACGCTGGATTCCTATGGTCACTTACTACAATGTATTGTGTACCTAATCTGTTCTGCTGATCCACCACTCTATTTCTTGGCCACAGCAGATTGTTGTGATAATTAACACTTTATAATACAGTTTGAGATCTGGTATGGCTAGGCCATCCTCCTTCACATTTGTTTTCTTTAATTCTCTTAATATTCTTGACTTTTTGTTCTTGCAGATGAATTTTATTATTATTTTTTCTAGCTCTATAAAGTAATTTTGGGGAGTTTGATTGGTATGACATTGAATAAGTAAATTAATTTAGGTAAAATTGTTATTTTTATTACATTGGCTCTGTCTGCCCTTGAGCAATTAATATTTTTACATTTGTTTAGATCTGACCTTATTTGTGTGAAAAGGGTTTTGTAATTGTGTTCATATGGTTTCTGGATTTGCCTTGGCAGGTAGACTCCCAAGTATTTTACATTGTTTAT